AACATACTCTAGACCTGAAGAATCTTCAATGAAAATCATACTTTTCTCGCTCTTCAATGGCTATTCGTCCTGTACATGAACTACATACATCATCAATTGGAGGTTTTTTGAGGAGCGTGGAAACATCTCTTCATTGCTGTTCTTCGCGAGTTCACCCTGCCCCCGAGGTAGCAGCACAATAAATAAATAAATAAAATCAGCAGTACAATTTTATAGTAAAATTAACAACAATGCATTTTTTGATATATATATATATATATATATATATATATATATATAATTATTTATTTAAAAAATATGATTCCAACTCGCATTATTTAATTATATTTAAATAAATAATTATATTTATGCTCTATTTTTTTATCGAGCACTATTTTTTTAAATATAATAATATAAATACTAAAGATTTATTGGATTATTTACCTAACCAGTTCTTTCCTATTTTCTATATATTTTCACACACACACACACACACACACACATATATATATATATATATATATAATTCCAATTATAAGTCATTATATATATATATATATATATATATAGTTTATGAAAAACTAGGTAATCCGTATGGGTAAACCTAAGGAGGATAAAATCCAGAGAGCTCAATGTAAATTTAGAATGTAATAATTTAAAAAAACAGACCATATTTAAGGTTCCAATGTAATAAATTATTATCAGACTTTACTTCCAAAAAGATTTTGGAAGTAAAAACTTTCTGTTCCAAAGTCCTTTTTAAAGGGCTGTGGTGAAATAATTTATTACATGGAAAACGAATTTTTTTTTAATTATATATATATATATATAAATTCCCAAGAGGATAGAATCCAGGTAGAACTCAATGTCCAGGACAGAGTAAGAATTTTCTTGATTACACATCAGTGCCCTCGTTTTTAGTTTGAGCCCCCTTTTTTCCCCCTCTCTCTCTCTCATCTTCTGGATTTTAAGTTTAGATCATATCGTTTTTTATTGTGCGTAGTGTCACCATTAATGTGGTAACACGTTTCCGGTGCCTGTTTTTTTTTTAATTTTAATTTTAGGTCAGCGAATTGATAGCGAATGATGCATCGAAAAATAATTCATATTTATCTGTATCCCACTCTTTTAAACCGTTATTAAACTCTTCTCTGCAAAAACCTCTCTCTGTTAAATTTTAATCCCCACCTTCAACTTTAGGCCTTCCTGTTCTTCTTTCTTCTGTACACCCTCTCTCTAGAGCTTTCATACATTTCTGTCTCACTTGTTTCCCATTCCTACACATACACTCTCACTAAAATCTTGCCTTTTATACCCGGAGTTATATTTTCCAATTTCTTTTTGAATTTGTAGGTCTGATGAATTGGATCGTGATTACGATTCCAATGCAATAAATTATAACCATGGAATATTAGTGTTTGAGCCTTATAAAATTGAAAAACTGTCTAGTTAGACGCAGTGATCCAATTTTCCTAGAAGCAGATCTCGTAACTGATTCAATATAATCTTTCCGCTTCATGTCAGAGGAAAACGTTAGTCCCAGAAAGATCAACTAGCCCTGGAAATAAGCCTCATCATGGCTGATGGAAGACAAAACAAAAAGAAGGTTTTCTCTGATGATTAAAAGAGAACTGTTTTAGTTTGTAGGCATTAAAATTAAGAAGCCATTTCTTTCGCTGGTTATCAAAAGATGGTATGTCATTTTTGAGATCAGCTGCCAATTTGACCATTACTTACATTATTCGGGCTGTTATTCTCATCTTCATTGCCATATTAACAACGTTTCGGTTGTTGTACGCTCCGGTCTTCTTCAGGTGATTGGACTTACGAACCGAACCCTTTATTTCGTCCACCGGGGTAGATTTGTTCTAGTTCCACGTGCCATACCTCTTCCGGATGTCTCAATTATTTCCCTTTAACTCAACTCTCCAAGTTTGTTTCACCAATGCTGTGGCCTGGCATTGAACTCACGACTCTTAGGGTCTAGTCACATGACCCAGTGAATATATACGTTGGTTAGATCCAGTGACTAAACCCAAAGAGTTGTGAGTTCAATACCAGCCCACAGATATGGTGACCCCCTCCCACCAAAAAAAAAAACAAGAAAAAAACCACTGAAGTTCTTTCTAGAGCGGTAGAGGAAAGCGAACATTTTTTCCTAGAATCTTTAGCAATTGATCGTATATATGAGTTCTACTTAAGGGCTGCAGTGAACAGTTACTGTTTTTCTCTTTCATTTGTCCTTAAAACATTCTCAGTATTCTCCTGTATGACAACATCTCTATCAGCTCAAGTCTTCTCTTCATCAGTGGGAACATTGTCTAACAATCAAGTCCATATAGGAGCTTAGATATTGCATGATAGCTTAACATCTTGTCTCTAACGAATATTTCTCCTAAACTCTTCCTCATTAAATCATAGATATTTCAATTTTCTAATATGTATTGGAACTTACGGTCATATCACGTTAAAACACTGATTCCCGCTAAATCACCGAAGGTAAGCAACATTGAGCCTGATCATTACTCGGCTGGGGTACTGCTAGGGAATACATTGTGAGTAAACTTTATAAGAGCCAGATCAGGCCGAAAATGGATTACATGTTAAATATTTTTAAGATCTGCTCAGTCCTCAGTTTTAATAGAGTTCAAAAGTGTCTCCGAGTCCCTGTGGGTGATGAATTATTTTCCACACTTCAAGCTCTCTCAAACAGGCGGGATGTGGCGAGTCTCTCACTACCCTATCGCTACTTCCATGGAAAGTGCTCGTAGGAACTGCATTCCTTGGTTCTGCCACGTCTAACCTTCACGGCTAGGACCCGCCATGTCACATACACAGTAGCCAACCACCCACATTCCACCCGTATTTCATCGGGGAGAAGGACTACCCGAACCGCTTCTTCCCGCGAATCGCTTCTCTGTGTAACACTCTCAAGAGGATTGTTGTGGATTCCGAGATGAAATCCGGTCTCCAATGAATGACAAACGCGGGAATGAAATATAACAAATAAATGTATTTACACAATAATACAATTGGTAATACGGTTAGTAGATCCAGAAATGTGGTTAGTAGCAATAATAATATATATACAGTCTGGGAAATCCAGTCTCGAAGTAGGACTTCCTTAGAGTCTACGTGCTCGCAACTGTGACTCCTACAAGCGGTTACCTCACACTATTACTCTACCTCCAACTCAATCACAATCACTTCTCTCTCTGGATATTTAACGGCAGCAGTACAGATACACACTGGTCGAGTTCACTTGTATGAAAAAGGGGTGGACCCCATAACAAGGATGTTTCCCAATCACTACAATCTTAGCCTGCTCAGGTCTAGAGTTAACCATTACCTTTCCCTCCTATCCATATAAACTACCCCTTATCATAACCCTCTACATTGAGTGACTCCTGGGCCTTGTACAGGGTGAACTTTACAGTTAAAAAAAAAAAACAATTCAGGACAGATGTGGTATAAAGATATTTGTCTGGATTTTTTAATTAATCTTTGAAATCATTACTGTTTATAAAAACGGATCATTTTATTAATAAGTGATTTAACCTTTTACTCTTGTTAATTTATACTACCACTGTCCCATAATCATTGTTACATTTACATACACATTTCATACACTTAATGTATCAATTATTATGGGACACTGAAGAAACCTTTTAAAAAATCTGCTCTTTGGCAAGGACCTGCATCTCCCTAAGTAGGTCTAATGCATGCTGGATCAAGTGGTAGTTCCTCTTACCAAATGGGGACACAGGTTCAAATCCTGCTGGAGGGAACATTTATTTTAATAATTTTATTTTATTAAGTTTTCTTGAGTGCACAGACTGATGGACATAATACAAACGTTTGATATACTTACCTACTCACAAAAAAAAAAAAAAAAAAAAAATGGGCATTTGTTTCAAATATGGATATCCACTAAAAGATTCCTACAGGTTGTGCCATTCTTTGTTTACCATTCTTTGTTTTTAAAGAAAAGTAGGCTGATGTTTTGGATAACTCATGAAAATGAATTATCACAGAATTTCACTCATTTCTTAATATCATTTAAAAAAAAAAAAATTATACTAATTCTGTCCCATAATAGTCGTTACATTTACATACACATTTCATACACTAAATAAAAAAATACAAGACAGAATATTTGTTAGGATTTTTTAATTAATCCTTGAAATGTTTATAAATAGGATTTTTTTTTATTAATAAGTGATTTAACCTTTTACTCTTGTTAATTTATACTATCAATGTCCCATAATGATTGTTAAATTTACATACAGATTTCATTCACTAAATGTATCAATTATTATAATAGAGTTAACCATTATCTTCCCCTCCTATCTATATAAACTACCCCTTATCATAACCCTCTACGTTGAGTGACTCCTGGGCCTTGTACAGGGTGAACTTTACAGTAAAAAAAAAACAATTAAGGACAGATGTAGTATAAAGATATTTGTCTGGATTTTTTAATTAATCCTTGAAATCGTTACTGTTTATAAAAACGGATCATTTTATTAATAAGTGATTTAACCTTTTACTCTTGTTAATTTTATACAACCACTGTCCCATAATGATTGTTACATTTTCATGCACATTTCATTCACTAAATGTACCAATTATTATAATAGAGTTAACCATTACCTTCCCCTCCTATCTATATAAACTACCCTTTAACGAAACCATTTACCTCTACTGGTCGTCGTTCAGCGTGAACCTTGCTGTAAAAAAAAAAAAAAAAATAGAAAGAAAAAGCTATGCCACAGCCCTATCAAGCCAATGGTGAATACAGTGTAGCTACTAAAAGAAAACTTTGATATGTGTAGATGCTTCTAGACTGACAAATTGCAAGAGCCACCTTTTGTGTGATGAAGGGCTGAGTAGTAGTCGCAGAATGCCTTTCAGCTTTTGTATTCACTTGACGTTCTGTCTGGAGGAGTGGGTGTTAGTGTTTGTTTATGTGAATGCTTTATTCATTATCTAATCTCGCACGAGGGCTTATTGTCATATAACGTTGAAACACAGGTTCCCGTAAGATCAGCGAAATTAAGCAACATCGAGCCGGGTTAGTATCTAGATGGGTGACCATTTGGGAATACTAGGTGGTGTAAGTTTGGATGTGCGGGAAGTATGGCTTAAGGCTCTATCACGTTGAAATACCGGTTCCCGTACGATCACCGCAGTTAAGCAACATCGAACCTTATCAGTACCTAGATGGGTGACCATTTGGGGATACTAGGTGCTGTAAGTTTGGATGTTGAAATACCGGGTAGTATGGCTTAAGGCTCTATCACCTTCATTGAAACACCGGTTTCCGTACGATCAACCGAACCCTAACCTAGATGGCAACATCGAACCTAGGTTTCTCTACCTGGATGTACGAATGGGTTAAACATTTTGCCTTGAAATCTAGGTGGTAGTTTTCTTCAAGGCCATTTTGAACACAGGTTTCCGTATGATCATCGCAGATTAAGTCGAACCTTTTTCAGTACCTGATGGGTGACCATTTAAATACTAGGTGTATGTAAATTTGTACAGGGTGTGGAAAATGGCTCTATCACGTTGAAATACCGGTTCCCGTACGATCACCGCAGTTAAGCAACATCGAACCCTATCAGTACCTAGATGGGTGACCATTTGAGAATACTAGGTGGTGTAAGTTTGGATGTGCGGGTAGTAAGGCTTAAGGCTATATCACGTTGGAACACAGGTTTCCCGTTCCGCATTAAATCGAACCCTTTCAGTACCTAGATGGGTGACCATTTAACCTTACTTAAGTTTGGATGTGCCTATTTTTTATGGCTGAATCACGATGAAACATCAATTTTCGGATCACCAAAGTAACAACATCGAACCCTATCAGTACCCTTGGGTGACCATTTGGAAATACTAAATGGTGTAAGTTGGATGTACAAAGTTTGGTTTAAGGCTCATACGTTGAAATACCGGTTCCCGTACGATCACCGCAGTTTAGCAACATCGAACCCTATCAGTACCTAGATGGGTGACCATTTGAGAATACTAGGTGCTGTAAGTTTGGATGTGCAATTAGTGTTATGGATAATGGCTCTGTCACGTTGAAATACCGGTTCCCGTACGATCACCGCAGTTAAGCAACATCGAACCCTATCAGTACCTAGATGGGTGACCATTTGGGATACCCAGGGTGCTGTAAGTTTGGATGTGCATGTACCATGGCCAAGGCTTTATCACGATGAAACACCGGTTTCCGTACGATCACCGCAGTTAAGCAACATCGAACCCTATCAGTACCTAGATGGGTGACCATTTGGGAATACTAGGTGGTGTAAGTTTGGATGTGCGGGTAGTATGGCTTAAGGCTCTATCACGTTGAAATACCGGTTCCCGTACGATCACCGCAGTTTAGCAACATCGAACCCTATCAGTACCTAGATGGGTGACCATTTGGGGATACTAGGTGCTGTAAGTTTGGATGTGCGGGTAGTATGGCTTAAGGCTCTGTCACGTTGAAATAGCGGTTCCCGTACGATCACCGCAGTTAAGCAACATCGAACCCTATCAGTACCTAGATGGGTGACCATTTGGGGATACTAGGTGCTGTAAGTTTGGATGTGCGGGATATGTAATGGACTCTATCACGATTTTACACCGGTTCCCGTACGATCACCGCAGTTAAGCAACATCGAACCCTATCAGTACCTAGATGGGTGACCATTTGGGGATACTAGGTGCTGTAAGTTTGGATGTGCGGGTAGTATGGCTTAAGACTCTATCACGATGAAACACCGGTTTCCGTACGATCACCGCAGTTAAGCAACATCGAACCCTATCAGTACCTAGATGGGTGACCATTTGGGAATACTAGGTGGTGTAAGTTTGGATGTGCGGGTAGTAATGGGTTTGACTCTCTATCACGTTGAAATACCGGTTTCCCGTACGATCACCGCAGTTAAACAACATCGAACCCTATCAGTACCTAGATGGGTGACCATTTGAGAATACTAAGGTGGTGTAAGTTTGGATGTGCGGGTGGTGTAAATGGAAATGGCTATCACGTTGAAATACCGGTTCCCGTACGATCACCGAAAAAGCAACATCGAACCCTATCAGTACCTAGATGGGTGACCATTTGGGAATACTAGGTGGTGTAAGTTTGGATGTGCGTGTAGTAAGGCTTAAGGCTATATCACGTTGGAACACAGGTTTCCCGTACGATCATCGCAGTTAAGCAACATCGAACCTTTTCAGTACCTAGATGGGTGACCATTTGGGAATACTAGGTGTTGTAAAGAGAGGGGGATGTGCGGGTACCATGGCTTAATCCACGTTTTCGTTGAAATACAAAATCCCGTACGATCACCGCAGTTAAACAACATCGAACCCTATCAGTACCTAGATGGGTGACCATTTGAGAATACTGGAATGGTGTAAAATTGGATGTGCAGGTGGTAAGGCTTAATGGCTCTATCACGTTGAAATACCGGTTCCCGTACGATCACCGAAGTTAAGCAACATCGAGCCTGGTCAGTACCTAGATGGGTGACCATTTGGGGATACTAGGTGCTGTAAGTTTGGATGTGCGGGTTTAATATGGCTTATGGGCTTACGTCACGTTGAAAACCGGTTCCCGTACGATTTCACCGCAGTTAAGCAACATCGAACCCTAAAATCGTACCTAGATGGGTGACCATTTGGGGAATACGTTAGGTGCTGTAAGTTTGATTATGTGCGGTGGTATGGAAAAAACTCTATCACGATGAAACACCGGTTTCCGTACGATGGACCAAATATTAAGCAACAAAAACGAACCCTATCAAAACCTAGATGGGTGACCATTTGAGATTTACAACATGCTGTAAATTTGGATGTGCAATTTAATGGATTCAACTTTATCACGTTGAAATTTTTCATTCCCGTACGATCACCGCAGTTAAGCAACGTCGAACCCAATCAGTACCTAGATGGGTGACCATTTGGGATACCAGGTGCTGTAAACTTGGATGTGCGGGTAGTATGGCTTAAGACTCTATCACGATGAAACACCGGTTTCCGTACGATCACCGCAGTTAAGCAACATCGAACCCTATCAGTACCTAGATGGGTGACCATTTGGGAATACTAGGTGGTGTAAATTTGGATGTGCAGTATGGGCTCTATCACGTTGAAATACCGGTTCCCGTACGATCACCGCAGTTCAACATCGAACCCTATCAGTACCTAGATGGGTGACCATTTTTTACCTGGTGTAAATTTTGGATGTGCGTGTTTCGTTTATGTTATTGTATATCACGTTGGAACACAATTTTCCCGAACGATCATCGCAGTTAAGCAACATCGAACCTTTTTTCAGTACCTAGATGGGTGACCATTTGAAATAACCTTTGTTGTAAGTTTGGTTGTGCTGGTATGTTGGCTTAATTTTTTACGTTGAAAACCGGTTCCCGTACGATCACCGCTGTTTAGCAACATCGAACCCTCAGTACCTTAGATGGGTGACCATTTGGGAATACTAGGTGGTGTAAGTTTGGATGTGCGGGAAGTATGGCTTAAGGCTCTATCACGTTGAAACGCCGGTTCCCGTACGAGCTCCGCAGTTAAGCAACATCAAATTATATCAGTACCTAGATGAGTAACCACTTGGGAAACCCAGGTGCTGTAAACTTGAATCTGCTGATAGTTTAATGAAGAACAGCCCAGACTGTGAAATAGAACAGCAGATTTCGATTTCTAGTTGGTTTCGCTTCATTTATTTCCGCGCAATCAGGAATCGAAAATAGACGTGATCGCCCATGTGTGTTACACCTGCCACTACAGACACGCACTGGGTCATTTCTCACCATGAATCCTTTCTGTGTTTCATATATGCTAGAAATACCCGTAAAAATTTCACGGTTTTCCTATTTTAATCTTCCGATGAAAATAATGATTGAATAAGCTTGAAGAGGAGTTCCAGGATAATAAAATATCCGGAGAAATTCCTCTATCGCGTCGTTAAATATTTGAGCTTAACTTTAACAAAATATTGCAATAATAATAAATATGAATGCTGGTCGTTATTTTAAGAAGTAAGGGGGTACAAATGAAAAGATTTCATATTGACAATCTTTTTTTCTTTTCAGTGAAACAGACGTTAAACTTTTCTATCTTTCTTTATTTTTTTCATTGAAACGAAGTAGTTTCTCTTATATGTCTTCTTCCTTCCGCGTGATCAAAACGGAAAAGTCTATTATTTATGTGATATTACCAGGAGACTTTAAATACTTTTATCTTTGCATCTTTCTTTCTTTCTTTCATTTTCGCACTGAAACCATGTAGCGTCTCTGATATGTCTTTTCCGTCTTTCCACGTGATCAAAATAGGCTTTATTTATTATTTATAAGGTATTGGCTTAACGTTCTTGCTAACCAAGTAACTAACTTAGGAACAAGCAGAATTATAATAAGATATTTTTTCTTGAAATTATACTTATACTATATTTTTTTTAAACATTTTGATAATATCCCTCTCACAAAACATGTACATGTGTGACGAATTAGGATATCTTCGGAAAATTATACCATTTTGATAGCTGTGGTACAAAGCGAGAGTCGTAAATATTAAGTTTGGGTAAAAGAAAAATGATAAAAAAAATGTGGTTGTGTTGGGTAAAAAGGTTAAACACTGCCGAGTGGCTTTCCGCTTTCTCTCCATGTCACGTGGAAACACCGGTTCCCCTACAATCACCGACATTGGAAACAAACTTGGAAACGAGTTTGAGACAAAAATGCGTCTTCTCCCCAGATTTATTTAACCTTTACAGCGACGCCATCTTATGGGAACTAGAGACCCTAACAGGATTTATTACCGGTAACATTAAAAGATTACAAGAAAAGATACGAAGATGGCACTGTACTGATGGGCGACTCCGTAGAGAGACTAGAGGAGCGCCTAGACAGCGTAGCAGAAGAAAATTAAAAAAAACAAAAAAATGCATCAACAAGAGAATTAGCCTGAGGTGTGAGTTACGATTTGGAGATATAAATATCAAGCAGGTGCAGAAGTTCAAATGTCTGGGAAGCGTTTTAACAGAAGATGGAAAATGCGATACCGAGATTCTAAACACACATTGAATTAGCGAAAGAAGCATTCCAAAAGCTAAGCAAGATGACGAGAATAGGAAAGATTTCGTTAGAAACAAAATAGTACTGGATTGCTATATGGTATCCACCCTCTTATAGGGCAGAGGAATTTCCCCAAGGATAAGCTAAAAACTATGCAATATTTATTGGGACAAAGCAAGTTTAGTTGACTACTGATGACAATTCCAGAAACTATAAAAAAAAATTTTTCTTGCTATCCTCTGCTAGCCGCAATGATGGAGAAAGCATGACCTCGTACCATCGCCAGTGAGACACGCTGCAAGAGCCACTCCGTTTCGAGAGTCATCCCTTAATCGAGACGCAATCGCGCCAATCCTCCGAAGGAACGCCATCGAACGAGGGCCAATAAAGCCTGAAGTCTCCACTGCCACAGGAGTAAAAAAAAAGAAAAAAAAAAAAAGAAAGTCTATCAGCAAGAGAAGAATATTTAACTATTTTTTTCATCTCTGCGTCCCGGGCGACGGACCCCGACTCAACCGCGGACCTGATCAAATTACCTGACGAAAATATATCCGCACAAGTCGCATCCCAAATCAACGACTTCCCCATTTTAAAAGGGAAAATGGTAATGCCATCCGACCGCTTTCCATCACCACGGTCGAGGCCTACGGGTTCGATTTGGGAAGGGAACCCAGCTTCATCCAAACCTCTTTTGATGATGTCGTTGATTGGTGCATGCCGTAGAAAGCGGCCAACACTACGACGGCAGGAGAGAGGATGCTAAAAACTAGAAGAAACAGAAAAATGGTTCTACAGAAGAATATTGTGAATTTCATGGACGAAGCTAGTAAGCAACAAGGAAGACTTAAAGAAAATGTCAACGTAAAAACACTTATACTCAAAAGACAGGTGAACACAAAATGAGGAAGGAGTGTTTGGAGAACTTAATTCTCACGGGGCATACTGAAGGGGCGAGAGATAGAGAAGAAGAAGAAGCAAGCTACTTTCCCGATGAACTTGTGTGAATGGATGGCGAAATGGACCCCTTAGTAAAGAGAGAAACACTGTAAAGAGCCACACGAGAAAGAAAGTTGTGGAGAGCGATGATCGCCTATGTCTAGAAGGGACGCAGAGCATGGAAGATTAAGACGCGGTTGCTGGATTTTTATAATAAATCTTGAGCAACAGGCAAAATATAGAACAAGACGCCATATTGAACACCGAACCATGAAATGACGTGCAGAACGAAGACGAAAAGGCGGAACGTTACGATAAAAAAAAAAAAAAAGTAAGGTAAAACGATAAAATGAATAAAATGCTTGGCAGTAAAATGGTTGTGACTGTAGTTTTAAAATTGCACTTGATCATGCATTCCATGAAAACAGGGAAAAATAAAATAATAAAAAAAGATGATTGTCACTTACAGGATAAAATCTGTGGTTTAATGGATAATGACACGTATAAAATCATTTTGGTGTCGACGAGATGGAGGATGAATTTATACATTAAAAATCAACTTTTCTAATTAAATATGACATACATGCTGATCTAAGAAGGATTTTAAATTAGTAAACGAAAAAAGAAAAAATACAGTCTTCACTATACGATGAACAGATAAAACAGTTTGGAACCAAATTGTAATTGGCAAAAATGGAATAGTTTCGATTTACGTAGTATGGTACAAGAACATTCTGTAGGTGATAATCAATCCCAATCTAAAAAAAATTAAATATTCATTTATATCTATCTATCTATCTATCTATCTATCTATCTATCTATCTATGTATTAAACTCAGTCACTTCATTTTCTATCTATCTATCTATCTATCTATCTATCTATCAAACTCAGTCACTTCATTTTCTATCTATCTATAAACTCCTATTTCGTTTATTAGGCATTGAAATACATAGCCTGACGTCCTTGATTATGCCTGACTTTTCCGTTAACCTGATGAATATTCAGGAGCAGCCTCGTGCCAAAAGATTTTGAAAAACCAGTAACATTTTTCTCTTGTATATAAATAGTTATCGCAAACTAAAATGTGTACATTTGCCTTGATAAAGTCACTCAGAGGATGAAAAGTGCCGACTAAGATAAGTTTTCTTTTTGTCTTTACTCATATGAAGATTACATTTCGTTTGTTAATATTCTAATAAACAAAACAAAGCAAGTTGCATCTTTGGTCAGACGGATAATTACAGGAAGACTCGGGATAAAATGTCGCTACGTAAATGCCAGTGATATAGGGTTGATGCCTATCCGGCTAAATGAGTGACTCAAGAAGAGTCAGATGGTCTGCAAGAGTGATTGTTCTCAGTAATCTTCTGTGAGTAGATCTGTTCTATCTTATTTGGAGAGAGGGGGGTAGGAATATTATCTTGCTTTTCTGAGATGAGGAAGAAAGAAATGAAGACAGAAAGAAAGAAAATAAGAAAAATGAAAGAAAACGATTACTTTACAAAGAAAAAAAAATGAAAATGGAAGAGAAATATGAAAGGAGAAAATGCTTAAAGAAAGAAAGAAAGAAAATTGGGCATGGAGGATAAAAAGAAAAAGAATCTTACATTAAAGGAAGAAAGAAAGAAAGAGAAATAATGAAAAGAAAGAATGAGCATGTAGGAAAAAAGAAAGAAAAATCTTACATTAAAAGGAAGGGAAAAGAAAGAAAGAAAGAGAGGGAAGAAAGAATGAACATGAAGGAGAAAAAGAAAGAAAAATCTTACATTAAAGGAAGGAAGGAAGAAAGAAAGAATGAAAGAGAAATAATGAAAAGAAAGAATGAGCATGTAGGAAAAAAGAAAGAAAAATCTTACATTAAAAGGAAGGAAAAAGAAAGAAAGAGAGGGAAGAAAGAATGAACATGAAGGAGAAAAAGAAAGAAAAATCTTACATTAAAGGAAGGAAGGAAGGAAAGAAGAAAGAAAGAAAGAAAGAATGAAAGAGAAATAATGAAAAGAAAATGAGCATGTAGGAAAAAAGAAAGAAAAATCTTACATTGAAGGAAGGAAAAAAGAAAGAAAGAAAGAAAGAGAGGGAAGAAAGAATAAACATGAACGAGAAAAAGAAAGAAAAATCTTAAAAGGAAGAAAGAAAGAAAGAAAGAAAGGAAGAAAAGGGTGTAAATAAAAGAAAATTATTACTTTAAAAAGAAAAAAAAATACAAGTAATATGAAAGAAAATAACTTTAGAAAGAAAAAAGAAAGAAAGAAAGGAAATAGGTAAAAAAATAAAGAGAACATGGGGAAGAAAAATGAAAGTAAAATATTTCTTTTTAAAAGGAAAAAGAAAAAAATCTTTAAAAATTAAAGAAAGGAGTGAAAGAAGAAGGAATGAAAAAAAATATAGTCGTTCATGAAATGAAGCAAAGATAGAAAAAAGAAATAGAAAGTGTATAGATTAGAAAAGAAAGAAAATAAAAAAAAAAGCAAAAAGGAAAATATTCGGTCTTTACGGGGTCATTCTGACCCCCAGAAATCTATTCATGTTAATCACTTTATCCTCCACCCACAATCAGGCAATATCTACTGCTTGGAAGACCTTACATATAAATTTCCCGTAGAAAGTGCACAGTATTAACTTCAGCTTGTCTTGAAATGTAAACTGTGTGAAGTTATTAAAGAGGTTAAAACCCAAATTAATAGCATTTCTTCCCAACACGTATGGGGCATTTTTATTTCGGACATGCGCAGAATAATGTTGGTCAGCAGCCCGAAGAATAATGATCTCCGATCGTCATAACATTATTAGAAGTATGATCAATACAAAAGAAATATCGTTGCGTTATTGACGACCGGAAATCGGCATACAACATCCCACATGTCTTCAACATCAATCATTTGACTATTTCCGACAAACCAACAAAGAACGATTGATAAGAAAGCATAAAAAATCTATCTATTCCAAAGAAAGCGCCAGTCATCAAAGGTTTTTTTTTTAACTGATGTTAACCCAATACAAAGCCGGTTAGACACTCTTGCGTCTTTAGGTGAAATGTTTCAAATAACGGTTGATCCTAGAGATTATGAATGTAGTGATCGGGAGAGTATTCCCTTGGAGGTCGGTTCTACAAAGTAACCATTCATGGAACCAATGATATACGAAATAGAATAACTCAACCCTATATCGGGTCGCTGAGGTCTAATCTGGTGAAACAAAGGAATTCAACCCGCCAAAACTTTTGCCATAGAAATAGCTATATAATAGCGATAGGTTTGCAAAGTTTTGTCTGTGGGATATCGATTGGAGGGTTGAAAATAATAGTTACGTAGACACTTTTGAACACTGTCAAAAACTGGAAAGTGAGAATTGGGCATTTCCAGCCCGGATATGGCTGTGATACATTATTTCGGTCTGAGCTGAATTAGGTATTTTCTGGAGAGAAAAATAGAACCAACCATTATTCTATCATTTTTTTAAAAGATGGATCATCTACTTGAGTTCCACTCGAAATCTAGAGTGAATTTCGGTTCCAATAGAGTGAATATGATAATGGTAAAAAAATGATTTTAAATGATTTTTACAAACTCATGACATACTATTTAATTCATATGGGATAGAATGAACACCACCCGTTTATAGCATTTAAGAATTTTATGGGTCTTTACAGGCAGAACAATCAAAGTTAAACGACAAGACATATTGCTTACGGCCACATCACGTTATAAGCATCAGTACTGGTATGATCACCGAGGCTAAGCAACGTCGAGCGTGATGAGTACCTAGACAGGTAACCATTTGTAATACCAAATGCTGTAAGCTTGGATGTGCAGGTGGTGTAATGGATAATGATGCGGAATGTTTAATAGGAGAGCCGAGTTCCCGTACGATCACTGAGGTTAAGCAACGTCGAGCTTGGTCAGTACCTAGATGAGTGATTGCTTTGGAATACCAGGTGCAGTAACCTTGGATGTGCAGGTGGTGTAATGGATAATGACACAGAATTTTTAATAGGAGAGCCAAGTTCCCGTACGATCACTGAGGTTAAGCAACGTCGAGGCTGGTCAGTACCTAGATGAGTGATTGCTTTGGAATACCAGGTGCAGTAACCTTGGATGTGCAGGTGGTATAATGGATAATGACGCGGAATGTTTAATAGGAGGGCCGAGTTCCCGTACGATCACTGAGGTTAAGCAACGTCGAGCATGGTCAGTACCTAGATGAGTGATTGCTTTGGAATACCAGGTGCAGTAACCTTGGATGTGCAGGTGGTGTAATGGATAATGACACAGAATTTTTAATAGGAGAGCCAAGTTCCCGTACGATCACTGAGGTTAAGCAACGTCGAGGCTGGTCAGTACCTAGATGAGTGATTGCTTTTTTGTTAACCAGGTGCAGTAACCTTGGATGTGCAGGTGGTATAATGGATAATGACGCGGAATGTTTAATAGGAGGCCGAGTTCCCGTACGATCACTGAGGTTAAGCAACGTCGAGCATGGTCAATTTATAGATGAGTGATTGCTTTGGAATACCAGGTGCAGTAACCTTGGATGTGCAGGTGGTGTAATGGATAATGACACAGAATTTTTAATAGGAGAGCCAAGTTCCCGTACGATCACTGAGGTTAAAGCAACGTCGAGGCTGGTCAGTACCTAGATGATAAATTGTTTGGAATACCATGTGCAGTAACCTTGGATGTGCAGGTGGTGTAATGGATAATGACGCGGAATTGTTAATAGAAGAGCCAAGTTCCCGTACGTTCACTGAGGTTAAGCAACGTCAAGCCTGGTCAGTACCTAAATGAGTGATTGCTTTGGAATACCAGGTGCAGTAACCTTGGATGTGCAGGTGGTGTAATGGATAATGACGCAGAATTGTTAATAGGAGAGCCAAGTTCCCGTACGATCACTGAGGTTAAGCAACGTCGAGGCTGGTCAGTACCTAGATGAGTGATTGCTTTGGAATACCAGGTGCAGTAACCTTGGATGTGCAGGTGGTATAATGGATAATGACGCGGAATTGTTAATAGGAGAGCCGAGTTCCCGTACGATCACTGAGCTTAAGCAACGTCGAGCCTGGTCAGTACCTAGATGAGTGATTGCTTTGGAATACCAGGTGCAGTAACCTTGGATGTGCAGGTGGTATAATGGATAATGACGCGGAATTGTTAATAGGAGCCGAGTTCCAATACGATCACTGAGCTTAAATCAACGTCGAGCCTGGTCAATACCTAGATGAGTGATTAAGCTTTGAAATACCAGGTTCAGTAACTTGGATTGCAGGTGGTATAATGGATAATGACGCGGAATTGTTAATAGGGAGAGCCAAGTTTCCGTAATGATCACTGAGCTTAAGCAACGTCGAGCCTGGTCAGTACCAGATAATTGCTTTGGAATACCAGGTGCAGTAACCTTGGATGTGCAGGTGGTATAATGGATAATGACGCCAATTTATTGTTAATAGGATTCAAATGAACGTCCCCGTACGATCACTGAGGTTAAGCAACGTCGAGGCTGGTCAATGTACCTAGATGATGATTGCTTTAATACCAGGTGCAGTAACCTTGGATGTGCTAATGGTATAATGGATAATGACGCGGAATTGTTATTTATCATTAGAAATTTTCCCGTACGATCATATGAGCTTAAATAACGTCGAGCCTGGTCAATACCTAGATGAGTGATTGCTTTATACCAAGCAATAACCTTGGATGTGCAGGTGGTACATAATGGATAATGACGCGGAATTGTTAATTGGATTTAAACGGTTTCGCCTTACGATCACTGAGACTTAAGCAACGTCGAGCCTGGTCAGTACCTAGATGAGTGATTGCTTTGGAATACCAGGTGCAATAACCTTGGATGTGCAGGTGGTATAATGGATAATGACTCGGAATTGTTAATTAAAGAGTTAAGTTCCCGTACGATCACTGGATTATTTAAAGCAACGTCGAGCCTGGTCATTTTACCTAAATGGTGAATTGCTGGAATACCAGGTGCAGTAACCTTGGATGTGCAGGTGGTATAATGGATAATGACGCGGAAATTGTTAATCGGAGAGACTCCTTTCCCGTACGAAAAATTAAAAATTTTAAATTTCAAATCGAGCCTGGTCAGTACTTGGATGGTGATTGCTTTGGAATACCAGGTCTCTAACAATTCGGATGTGCAGGTGGTTAATGGATAATGACGCAAAAAAAAATAGAAGTAATTCGTACAAATATTTTCGATTTAACTGTATTAAATCAGTTTTAACGTCGACTAATTGGTCAGTACCTAAATTTAACATAATCCCAATAATTAAATACCAGGTGCACAAACCTTTTGTGCAGGTTAATGTAATGGATAAAACGCAGAATTGTTAATAGGAGAGCCAAGTTCCGTATGATCACTGAGGTTAAAATTATTAACGTCGACCTGGTCAGTACCTAGATGAATGATTTTTTTTGGAATACCAGGTGCATTAACCTTATCATGGATGTTTTTGTGGTATAATGGATAATGACTTCGGAATTGTCAATAGGAGAGCCGAGTTCCGTTACGATCACTGAAATTAAGCAACGTCGAGCCTGGTCATTACCTATAATGTTTGATTATTTTCTATCTGCAGTAACCTTGGATGTGCAGGTGGTGTAATGGATAATGACGCATAATTATTAATAGGAGAGCCAAGTTCCCCATAAGATCAAAAAAAATTAAAACAACGTCGATGGCTGGTCAGTACCTAGATGAGTGATTCACAGAATACCAGGTTCTAACCTTGGATTGCAGGTGGTATAATGGATAATGACATAAAATTTATGGGAGAATATGAGTTCAACTATCACTGAGGTTAAGCTGCTTTAAGCCTTTTCAGTTTCAAGATAAACTATGGCTTTTTGAATACCAGGCGCAGTAACCTTGGATGTGCAGGTGGTTTAATGGACAATGACGCAAAATTGTTAATTCTTGGAGAAAAAAGTTCCCTTCTACGATCACTGAGGTTAAGCAACGTCGAGGCTGGTCAGTACTTTAATGAGTGATTTTTTTGGAATAAAAGTGCAAACCTTGGATGTGCAGGTGGTGTAATGGACAATGACGCGGGTTGTTAAATAGTTCCCTGAATGGTTAATAGGAACCCATTTTTTGCCGGTCATCT